TGCAAAATAAAAAAAGAGGAAGTTCAATATAATTAAAATAAACCTCCAAGTATATAGCGAATTACTTTACTTGACTACGGAAGTAGCGATAATATATATATGGCGAAATTATTATTATAAGTGCTTCCGTCAATCAAACGAATTCCCCTCAGTACACCGTTTTACAATACCAACGCAGCCACAATCAGCAGAGGTGCGGCAGTGCGCATCCACACAGGGCTGAAACTGCTGTCAGCATCGCCCGGCTTCTGCTCGTTGCTTGGTGCATTAGTGGAAGTGGGTTCTTGTGTTGATGGTTTGTCACCCTCCGGTTTCTGGTCGGGGGTTTCTTGATCATCTCCTGCAGGAGGTTGTGGATTGCCATTCTCTGGGTTCTCGGGTGCATCAGGTTTCCCAGGGACTTCTGTGTCTTCTCCACCCTCTTCTTCTGGGTCCTTTCCAGTGCCATCATCAGGGGCAGGAAGTTCTTCCTCATCATCATCTTCTTCGTCTTCCGGGAGGGTTTCACCTGGAGGAGGTAATACTTGTTCTGGGTCTGTTGGGGTCCCCGTCATTCCTCCCCCCTCCACTTCTCCTGCTGCTTCATCTCTAGCTTGAACTGCACTTCTTTTGACCTCACCAGCACCAGAAGCCATGGCATACCCGCAGGCGAGGCACAGCACAACGGCCAACACACAGATCACACGGTTCATCTTCATCATCGTGAGAGAAAAAAACAGTTTGGTTTGCGTAAAAACACTGATCTAGAAAAACAAAACAATAAAAAAAAGAAGGAGAGTGAGAGAATACACATCACAACAGCAATCAAACACAACCCAATGAGGGGAACACAACAATAAACCGCTCACACAATAAAACACACCCAGAGTTACACAGATATTGAAACAACACCTTGAATTTAGAAGAAGTGGGAAACAAATGGTTTCAAAACAATATTAAATAAACGTCTCTACATACACTCCAATATCTTACTCGGTATTCATACACAAACAAAGTGTTTGTATTCTCATCATAATAAAATCATTACCAGGCAGTTTGAACACCAAAATACACCAAAAACACAGTGTACGCCTGGCAACATACAAAAACAACGCCACAAATCATCAGCAAAACAAAGAGACTGTACCATAATCAACACACTTCCAAACAGAAAAAATAAAAAAAACCAATGCATCACCATAACATTTATACCAACACCACAATTGGAATCCAAAACCCACTCACCCAGAACCATAACAAAAATGACTGCATACATCACTGTAATACCATGCCACTCTTTACAAACAGA